GGATTGGAACATGATCTGCCCTGATTGTAGTTAACCCCACAAGGCGTAGACCACATGGGGGATCTGCAAATGGCTGACCAGCATCGTTTGGATGAACCACAAATCTGTGCACCACCACACAGACCACATGGGTGATCTGCAAATGACTGACCAGCTAGCAACCCAAGACATTTTGGGTTTGCAACACCATCTGAGTGATCTGCAAATTGTTGGCCAGCATCCAGCGCACCATCCTGAGATCCTCACCATTTTCTATGGCCTGACCACAACTAATGTTTGTCTTCACATTCCCACACCGGCCGTTTTATACACCATTAGACTTCCTTGCAATTGCCCTTCAACTTGATGCTGATCTTCCCCTTCTACAGCCAGAGGATTGTAATTATACTAGGGAAAGAGGATTTACCATTGTTGTCCTACAAGTAGCAATGAGGGACCACCAACTTGAACTAGCAATGCTCTTGTAGGTGAGTGGTTCAATCCTCCATCCCACATCTCTGCCTGCATTGTGCACGGACTTGGCCATCACATGGCCGTTGTACATACCTCTGACCACTGGGAGTTGTGGGATAATGGCGTCATGGTCCATGCACTGACTAATATTACTGTTTTTTTAGATAGTGATGTTGTTTTCTTGCCACACCAAACTGCTCGCGATCTCTTTTATGTCGAAGGTCATTCCTTTGGGCCCGTGTTGCAGCAGGACAATGTACCAACACTCTGAAGCCTTCTCTTTTGCAAAGCTATACACCCGGCTGTAGCCACCACTGTCTTTGTCACAATCACTACAATGACATGGTCTCTGCATCCATGTGTGTAGAGGACTGTCCCTCTGTTACTGACTGCAGGCACCCTCGGCATCCGGACGCTATAAGCTCATTTTGCATCCATGGGCGCTATACTGAATGCATGGTATTTTGTGGTGAACGTTCTTCCTTCATTTTGGCCTGCAATTGACATGCCATTTGTCGGGAGTGTATGGTGGGCATTCTCAATGCCAGCCGTCATGGCAATTGTTGTGCTGAGAATGCTCAACTAAGTCTTCCATGTGCCCATCCACCTCATCCTTACAGCGTGTGTCCTCTCTGTCCTCAAGAACAGACTCTTCTTGAGCCTTTTCTTATCCTTTCCTTTGCCTTCATCTTCGTCCCACACTCCATACTTTTGCTTACTTTCCCTTTTTAGTTCTTTGTTTCTCTTTTCTTCATCTCTCTTTTCTGTGTTTATCACCTCCCCTTTTACTTTGCCTCTTTCTCACGGCGTACAAGTGGGCCCTTATGACACATAGGGATGCAGGCAGCTCACGCTTGACTTCATCAACATGGCGAGCCTTGTATGTGAGAGGCACGGTAAAGGGGGCATTCAAAGAAAAATGAGAAATATGCATGGTTTCAGTGTGCCCCTCATGTTTGTCTTATTTTTAATCTTTACCGCTTGTTTTGCAAAGTGCGCCCTTTTAGTTAATGATTATGCGACAATATATCTTTGTTTGACTATTTGACGATATATATATATATATAATATATATATATATATAATACATATATATATATATCATCACGAACAGAACTGCCTGGTAAACCGTAGGCAGAGAGAGAGAACAGGACAACAAACGAGGGGCTGTGACAAACTGTTTCGTCGGAGTTTCACCGACTCATCAGGAGGCTGAACCCTCAACAGTCTGCAAAATCCCCTCACTGATTACACTGTAAATGATAATCTACCTTAACCAAAATCAAAGTAGACTATCACTCACCCACACCAGATGGAAAACTCTACAGACCGTCGTTTCACACCCCATCACAAGCCAGCAAAACATCCACGAAACAAAGAAAGGTCTGTCACAACCAAAAAATACACTCCAGACACGCCGCTGGCACTAGA